TACTACTACTACTACTACTGTAGTCGCCTCAGCTCAGTCTCGCGTTGTGGTTGAGGGTAGAAAGAGGAGGACTTTGGTCTGAGGGAATGTGGGAATGCAATGCTGCAGTTTTGGCACGGTGGACAGCCGCAAGGGTGCAAGGCCCAATTAACCTGACATAGCCTTGGAGCACTGTGGAGCACGGACGCGCTCCCAAGTGGGGCATCAAAAGATTCTACCAGAAGCGGCCCTTGGGTTTGCCACGTTATTGAAAGTGAGGTGACCGGGGCATTGGAAAATCGGGCAAGCGGGGGCCCCCAAGGGGGTGAATGCCACAGGTGTCCCTGCAGTTTGCAGTTGTTTTCCTCGGCAAGATCGAACGAAGCGAGACAGGGGCGGGCATATACAGACCAGCCGGTACACCCACAGGTGGAATGTCGTGCCCTGCTGAAACCAGCCCCGCTCGGGGGCGCAACCCAAGTCGGGGAATGACTGGGATTGAGACGGGAGTGCACCTGATTTCCGCTCCCCGCCCGAGGTATCAGCAGACATCAAGAGGCACACGAGTTGCTGAGTCTATAACATGCGGCCCTGGTTCATCAGTACAGTACATGCGCTGCTAAACTGCAGGTTGAAGTCATCCGAACTGCCGTGGAGGGATGGCTGAAAGCTGCACCACCCGATGGTGGCTCTGCAGTCGACTTCTTCGCCATCGGCTTATTACACGTTCCTGTGAAGCCTTCCCCCAACTTTGAAGTGCGGTGAAGTCTATCCCGGCGTCTGTTCAAGCTTGCGAATGTGTGTACATTGTGTCAAGTGTGTGTATGTGTGTGTGTGTGNNCTCTTTGTCTGTCTGTCTGTTTGTCTCATGCTCTCTGCGGCGGCGTGTCAATGCTGCAGTTTGCACATTCCTGAGGATTGGATTGATCGAAATCTAAAGTCATCCATGTCGACCAACGCATCGGGCTTGGGAATCTTCACGGCCAGAATACGCAAGTGATGGCAAAGTCTTGGTTCATGATCGCAGGAGTCCATTGTGATCACCAACATACTCAACCTTTTGTCGGCCTCTTTGCGCACGCATGTGGTCGTGAACGAGGCGGTCGAGCATGAGTCATATAGGGCTGTCAAGCACTTCCAAACCTAGGGGCAGCACTTACGGCTTGCAGGCTGTGCAGGAAGCTGCTTGCCTTCGAGTTTTTGCTCGGGCCTGACGAGTTGGCAATGCTCTGCCATGTCCTAAAACTGCACGAGGCCTACTCCGTCGCGTGAAAGCCTCAGACGCAAAAAAAGGCACCGCCGCTGGACGACCGCCGCCCTGCCGAGGTGGGGGATGGGCGGCTTGTTTGAGCAAGAAGCACGGAAGATTTTCCACACCAAGCTTTGCAAAGCTCTCAGCGGTTCAAAGTTCAAGATTCCATGGGAGTTCCCAAAAGCTCAGGTGACGTGATGGGTGTCGTCTGGCCCCGAAGTCCTTCAAAACACTCCCAGTTCAAGCCAAAGCCCACCTTTGTTCACAAGGCCGGACATGGCCAGTACGTCCCACCTTGCCAGGAGGGCGAGACGAATTGGCCTCAGGGCTTGGGATGTAAGCTCTGGGATACACAAGCCCGAATCACTTGCAGCAAGGATTTTCGAGTACGTGCCAGATCCAGCAGACAAGTCTCGACCATGGAAGCTTTGGGCACCCGCTGAGTGGAAGGTTCCTTGGCGT